TATAATTCGCGAATTATTGCAAAAAAAAAAAAAAAAAAAAAACCCATTGCTCACCCAAAAACGACGTCGTTTTAGTGGGGTTTAATTCAAAATTAAACAGAATCTCTTCTCTTCTTCGGTTCTTTTTTCTTCCTCAGTTCTTCGACGGATGACATTTTCAGCTTTTCTTCCTTAGTTCTTCGACGTTTTCAACTTTTCTACCAATACTTTCCCTTCCTCAGCTCGGACAGGGAACTGGTTGAGATTTTTAATGGGTTTGTGTTTGTGTTTGGGGGAGAAGAACGGCGAACTAGTTGAGATTTTTAATGGGTTTGTGTTTGTGTTTGTGTTTGGGGGAGAAGAATGGCGAACTGGTTGAGATTTTTAATGGGTTTGTGTTTGTGTTTGGGGGAGAAGAAAAAGTTTGAGGAAGGGAAAGTATTGGTAGAAAGAATAGCCTGTAAAGCAGATGTCATTGTCTCTGAAAGAAGCAGTTGGCCTTCTGGGTGAGCGTGAGGCATTGAGAGATGATTTGATTGAAGAAGAGAGAGGGAGGGGGGTTTTTAAGATGGGTCATGGGTGTTTTGTGTTTGGGGTGGATTTTAGTATACGTGTCAACACTCAACACTGCAGATTACGTTTCTATTGCACAAACAAAAAAATAAATAATTATCTTTTCTACTGGCGGGTTAGAACAAGACATGGGCCTGGGAATTTGTTAAGGCAAAGAAAAGATTAAGCAAAAGCAAAGATTTAATTGAAGTCAATGCAAATATACATTAATAATTAATCCATAAAAGTGTTAAAATAAGGTTGATATTACCGTATTTTTTAAAACGTATTATTGACAATGTACCGTATTAAACCCGTATATATCCGTACCGTATTTTCCCATATCCGAATTTTATGGTCGAATTTTTATAAACGTATTTTTTACTGTTTGCCGTATTATACCCGTAAAATTCCCGTACAATTTTTTGCCGTACCTGTATTTACTAACTAGGGTTCATGTTCAACGACTCTAAACCTAATTGAACTAGTGTGGAGTGCTGTTAAATAAGTTTCGCATTGTTTAATCGAGGGGTAAATTGTGATGTTAAAATTAGACACAATATTTTACTCCCTTTTCTCTTCCTCGTTTCTAAGTGCTCTCACATTCACCCAAATATCTAATGCAGTCAAAACTCTGTTGAATGGAAGAATAAAAACTTACTCTTAGAACATACGATTAAGACTATAAACAAACAAAAACTTGATTATTTCAATAAATCTTATTTATATTTAAAAATTCTGTTATGCCTAAGGAAATAAAGGGCTGACGTGGGAAGAGTCACGTGAAGGGCGACCTGCTCTCGTCAGAGCAACACGCACACGTCAGACCTGCCAAGTGATGTGGAGCCCACACGCGTCCTTTCTCCTGCCACAAGTCGTGCGATGTCAGCTTGGAAAAAGGGAAATGGGACATAAAGCCTGATTATACACTGACAATCACACCAAACCACGGATTTAGCAATGATTATACATTTCAGTTCAGTATAAAATAGGGAAGACCCCTTCATTAAGGGGATTCGGCCATTTTACATAAAAAAGAACAAACAGAAATCTCTCTCTTGTAAACTTTGCTTTGACTTTTTCGTCTGTTGTAAGTCAGCTCGCGACCGCGACCTGACACCCACAAATATCAATACAAATCAGTGGAAGTAGGACTTGCTATCTTAGCATCCGAACCACTTAAAAAATCCCTCTACAGCTATTTTATTTTTCTGACATTCTATTTTCACGTACATCAAACAGTCACTTGATATTATACACGTAAAAATTCGTTGGTGCAAAATCGAGCATCAACAGATGGGATCCTAATTAACTCATGATAAATAAGACTTTGATATTAATTTTTTACTTTGAATACCTTGTTTGTCCAATCCGAAATGACATAATCTTTTTTTTTTCTTCATTAAAATATGTGAAGGAGATCGAAATCTTTAACACAGCAGGAAGAAGTACCTATATATTCCAATGTCAATAGAATAGATCTGCAACGTGGACAGGTTCCTTTTCTCTCTCTTTATATTATATGTATAGTTGGATAAATCTTATGTAATTTGTTTGGTTTTAGTATAGTTATGTGTCTTACCATATATATGCCTCAATTAAATAAAGAAAAACATATATTCAGTAATCCTTGGAATTCTTGGCCAATGTCTTCATCCTTGCTAGCAAACGATATAAGTTGACTTGGTTGCCTTAAATATGTTTAAGAGATTTAGTCTCTCTAATTGAGCTCAATTTGTGCTGTACTATATAACTTTATTATTTAAAATAATATAAATTAAAATTTAATTGTACTTATAATAAAATCCCTTTGGTAAAATCTCATTTATAGTGTTAATATATATATATATATATATATATATAGAAAGGAGAAAATTCAATAGAAGGAGGTGAAATATGCTTTTTTTTTTCTTTTTTTTTTCAGTAAGAAAAAGTTAGTAGAATAAAACTTAACTAATACTTAAATAGAAAATAATTTAGAATATTCTATTTGGAAAAGATTTACTCTCAAGAATGGTTATGAATATGTATTCCGAGAATAAGAGTAAATATTTAATTGAATGATATTAAATAGCCTTATTTCAAAATAATTTATTATATTTTTGTTTTAATTCAAGAAAAAATTTAAATTACATTAATGAAGTGGTTAAGGAGAGTTTATACCAATGGGACCTTTATTATCTGATGATAAATAAGAATTTCATATTAATTTTTAACTGTGAACACCTTGTTTGTCCAATCCGAAATGACATAGTTTTTTTTTCTTTCATTAAAATATGTGAAGGAGATTGAATGTTTAGCACAACAGGGAGAAGTACTTGTATATACCAATATCAATGGAACAGATCTGCAACGTGGACAGGTTCCTTTTCTCTCTTTATAATATATGTATAATCAAATAAATCTTATGTAATTTGTTTAGTTTTAGAATAGTTATGTGTCTTACCATATACGTGTCTCAATTAACAAAGAAAAGCATATATTCAGTAATCCTTGGAATTCTTGGCCAATGTCTCCGTCCTTGCTAGCAAACTATATAATTTGAGGTTGCCTTAAATATTTTTAAGAGATTCAGTCTCTCTAATTGAGCTCAATTCGTGTTACACTAAATAACTTTATTATTTAAAATAATATAAATTAAAAGTTAATAGTAATTATAATAAAAAAAGATATATAATGTTAATTATTTTATTTTGTTTACACTAACAATAGTATATTTCCTTTTGTAAAATCTCATTCATAGCATATATATATAGAAAGGAGAAAATTTAATAGAATGGGATGAAATATGCTTTTTTTTTTTTCCTTATTGTTTTTCAATAAGAAAAAAGTTAGTAGAATAAAACTTACCTAACACTTAAATGGAAAATAATTTTGAATATTCTATCGGGAAAAGATTTACCTTCAAGAATGGTTATGTATATGTATTCCAAGAATAAGAGTAAATATTTAATTGAATGATATTAAATAGCCATATTTCAAAGTAATTTATTATATATTTTTTTTAATTCAAGAAAAAATATTTAAATTACATTAATGAAGTGGTTAAGGAGATTTTATACCAATGGGACCTTAATTAACTCATGATAAATAAGACTTTCATATTAATTTTTTACTGTGAATACCGTGCTTGTCCGATCCAAAATGAAATTTTTTTTTCTTCCATTAAAATATGTGAAGGAGATTGAATCTTTAGCACAACAGGGAGAAGTACCTGCATATTCCAATGCCAATGGAACAGATCTACAACGTGGACAGGTTCCTTTTCTCTCTCTTTATATTATATGTATAGTCAGATAAATCTTATGTAATTTGTTTAGTTTTAGTAGTTATGTGTCTTACCATATACAGTAGAATCTCTATATAGTAATACTCTATGTAGGAATAACTTCGATATATTTATAAAAAATTTCAATTCCAATTACTTAGGTCAGTTAAAAATAAAAATAATATGAAATAAAATGTTTATTTAAAGTTGTTTGGGACAATAATTTATACTTTAGAGTTGTTACCACATCTTTTAACTTATGGGTACATAATAACTCACCAACATGAACACCTTCTTGTTGAAGCCAAAATTTTTCTAACTTCTCAAGCATGTTTTGAGCTTTTTGGCACAAAACATCTTGGATTTCTGTACTATCATCCTCAATATTATCTCCTTCATCTTGTTGTCTAATCATAGCAATGATTTCTTCTTCAGTTAAAGTATACACGACTTGTTGTTCATTTGGATGATTGAGAAAGACAATAATATCCATTTGATTAGTATAATGAAGTTGTCGAATCTAACAACTCAATTCTGCAATGACTCTTTGATTCTCCTCATTCACTTCATTTGTAACTTGCATCATTGACATCGAGAGTCCTAATTTTACAGTGCTTAAAATATCTGGCAATTGTCTATAGCTTCACATCAATTAACCATGTAGCAAATGCATTTACAATTCCATTAAGGACATTTATATTTTCTGGTTTCAAGTAATATTCCTACATCAGGAAAAGTAAATAAGAAATCCTAATACTACTAAAATAATAATTTGAAATCCTAATACTACTAAAACATGAATTATAAACTAAGAAACCAAAATAATAATTTTTGTAACTATACCTCTATTAAGTTATAATCTTCTCATAGTAATAAAATTAGTTGGTTCCACCATTATGTCTATAAAGAGGTTCTATTGTACATGCCTCAATTAATAATAATAATAATAATAATAATAAAAAACATATATTCAGCTATCCTTGGAATTCTTGGCCAATGTCCCTGTCCTTGCTAGCAAACTACATAAGTTGACTTGGTTGCCTTAAATATGTTTAAGAGATTCAGTCTCTCTCATTGAGCTAAATTTTATTTTCCTTTAATTGCTTATTAGGTTATTGAGTTGTTTGTATATTAACAGGAAATCACTCAAATAAGAGAACAAAATGCCTATTTTGAACATATTCTAAATCAAGAGAATGAAATGGTGATGAATCCAAATATAGAGAACACATCAAGTGCTAAAAGAAGAAAGTTGAAATCAAAGGTTTGGGAGGATTTCACAAAGTATGAAGATAAAAATGGGAAGGAATTGGCTAAATGTAAACACTGTAAGAAAGACTTTGTAGGTTCAAGTAAGAGTGGAACCACACATCTAAAAAATCATTTAAAAAGTTGCCAAGGTTCGAGAAATCCAGGTGGAGTTGTAGATAAAGAAAAAGAGAAAAGTTTGATTGATCCAGCATTGAATGGCTCTGAACTGGTGCAAAAGATTATTAAGTGCGGATTAAATGCCATAAAGGATGATATACTTGATGTTTACAAACAAGAGAAGGATAAGCTTCATAGATATTTACATAAACTCCCATCTCGTTTTAATGTAACAATTGAGAGGCAGTTTGGCTTATGGTTCCTGACAAGCTGGTTTATCGATGATAATTGGGAATTGAAAAGGATAATTAGTTTACTGGGAAGATACGAAGATGAAGTTGTCTATGAAATTGTGAGGTCTTGGCTTGTGGATTGGAACATGGACAAAAAGTTATGCTCTATGGCAAGAGGTGAACTTTTTAATGTATTTGAAAATGAGGAAGTTATTAAGAATATTAACAATTGGTTCAATGAACGAGGATCACTTCCTTTCATTGGGAATTTTCGGTCGTTTTCTCTTTTATTGGATAAATTTGGTCATATTATCAGTCTAGGTGCGTTGGATAGAATTTCGGGAAATTATATTTTATGTAAACAGTCGGAGCTTCTTAGATACGTCAGGATCTCATCAAATGTAAATAAGTTTCAATCTGCAATAAGCAATGCTCAGTCCATGGGCAAAACAGTAATTTCCGAAAGTGTTCCTCCATTTGGGTGCTTGATTGACGATGCGTTTGAGTGGGTAATGAATTCTAAAGAAGCATTTTGTGAATTGGAGCATATAGATCCTGATTTCAAGTCCATAAATTTTACAAAAGAAGAATGGGATGATGCAACTTTACTGTACAACAGTTGGAAAGTGTTAAAAGATTTGAGAGATGATCTTTGGAACTCCTTAGAACCTAAACAAACTGCAAATGTGTATTTCCCAATGGTTTATCACATATTTTTCAAATTGCTTCAGTTGGGAAAAAGTGAAAATCTTTACTATTGCCAGGTCGCATCACAATTTTTGAGTTATTTTGATCAATGTTGGGGCAATTCTAACTTGATTTTAGTAATTGTAGTAATTTTGGATCCACGATTCAAAATGAATATTGTAGAACATTTTTACGAAGAGATTTATGGTAATCAAGTAGACACACCCTTTAAGAAAATCATTGATGGTGTTAGAAATATTTACAATAAATATGCAGAGGGCACAAACAATTCTAAATCATCATCCTCTTCGTACCATGTTGATAGTAATTCTTTAGGTACTCCATCGAAAAGGGTAGACATCATGGGGAGATCATTTGCATTTTCTCATCATGTTAATGATATTGCTACACCAAAATCAGAACTTGACCGCTATTTGAGAGATTCTAATTGTCCATCAAGTGAAGGGTTTAATTTACTAGAATGGTGGCGTGTCAATTCTACAACTTATCCAACACTAGCTAAGATTACACGTGATTTCTTATCAATACCTTTCTATCCTATGTTTGATTTAGATTATTCATTGTCACATGAAATTGATGATATTTATGATTGTTGTTATCTTGATGATGACCTCAAACAGGTTTTCACATGTACAAAAGTTTGGTTGAATTGCCCTGTAATCAAATAATCATGTTGTTGAAATACATATATGTTCTCATTTTTTTCCATTTACTTAATTTTGTCCTTTTGATATGAGTAACCATTGAGCTAAAATTAAAACAAGGCATCAACATATTTATATAAAAATAAATGAAAAATATTAAACTTCTCAAATTTTCATCTTCTAACTCATGTCTTTTTATATCTTTATAATTGAATTTTTCATCTTAAGTCATATATTCTAACATTATCATGTTATCTCATATTGATCAATACGAAGGAGAAATACCAATATAACGACATATTAATCGAAAAGAATTATTTTAAAATTTAACACTATTGAAAAAAAAAAAAAAACCTACAAAAGAAAGAAAATAGAGTTACCATATGAATTGAATCTCATTAATTTTCTAATTAGTCTTGTTATAAAATATTTTCACATTAATTTCATAATTATCCTTAGTAATGGAATTTTTCTCTCCTTTTTAGTTTTTCTAATTAACTTACAAAGCCCTTCAAAATCAGATAAGAGATGGAGCCATTGCCAGAGAAAGTGGTAGAGTCAGGAATTCAATTGAGATAAGGCAAGATCAAAAAACGGTATCGTTTAAAATTTTCAACTCCAATATGTATACATTTTAAATTATTTATCAACACTCTTTTATTTAATTTTTTTTTTTTTAACGTCGATTCACAACTAAATTTACAATTTTTAGAGTTTTACTTCACATAAATTTTATTATTTTGTAACACGGAAACAAAAAAGGGCAAAAAACAAAGAGTATTGAAAGGGAGAAGAAACTGTGTTTACTGTATGTATTATTTCTTAACAGAAAAACAGTAATTACAGCTTCATATAGAGGTTGAAGATAAGCAACAGTGTTAACTGATTTAACAGTAATCAATTGTACAACAAACGGCAGCGTATCAGTCAATTACTTAAAACCAGATTTTGACTTTTATAGTCAACATGCTCCTTCAAACGTGACTGCATAGAACTTCAACTTGTCTTCAATAACTTTTCTTCCACTTCATCAACTCTTCTTCAACAGCTTTTCTTCCATCCTTCTTGTACTTTAAAATGCTCCCTTAAACAAGACATCATAGGACTGTGAACTGCTCATCTGTATTAGTACATACAAATTGAACTTCATCATTACTTTACTGATCTGCAATTATGACTCTACTTTTCTAGTAACTTCAGTGTACTTAAATAAGCTTAAGAATAAAATTACTGCTTGTTGCAAGTGTAGCTATGTTCAAGAACAACATTCGTGTTGCTCTGCAAGTAGAATCAGAAACAAAGCAAAACTTGTGTTGTCTCTGAAGCTTCAGATTGGAATGTTTACTGCTATTGGAACAGTTAGAGATAAACAATCAGAATCAGAACAACAAGTTGTTCACTACAAGCTACCTAGCTGCAGCCTTCACCAAGTGTAGTGACATTTAACTTTGCCCTTAGATTAGTGAATTGACCAACCGATAAAGCTATAGTAAGAACATCAACTATTTGTAATTTAGAGGGAACATATTGAATGGCTACCTTTTGGGCTAAAACTTGCTCCCTAATGTAATAAGCATCAATTTCAATATGTTTGATCCTAGCATGAAACACAGGATTAGATGCAAGAGCTCCAACACTAACATTATCGCACCAAATAACTGGAGTAATGTGAAAAGTTGGGCCTAAGTCAGTAAACAAACTCTCCAACCAAGCTACCTCTATTGTCATATGAACTAAGGCTCTATATTCAGCTTCAGTGGAGGAAAGAGCAACAACTTTCTATTTTCTAAAACTCCATTGGATCAAATTTGGTCATAGATAAACACAATAACCACTGGTTGATCTCCGATCTTCAAGATTTCCACCCCAATCAGCATCAACATAACATTTTATATGTAATGCCTTTGTTGGTTTGAAAAGTAAGCCATAGTGGATAATGCCTTTAATATACCGCAACACCCTCTTGCAAGCTTGCCAGTGGAGTTCAGTGGGAGCATGTAAAAATTGACTAAGTTTGTTCACAGTGAAACTTAGATTAGGTCTTGTAAGGGTCAAATATTGTAGTGCACCAATGATACTCTTATATAGACTAGGATTCTGAAATGGTTCACTATCAGTTGAACTCAATTTTATTCCAACATTCATGGGAGTAGAGCAAGCATGTGCTTCCATCATCTTGGTTTTAATAAGAAGATCGGAAGCATATTTGGACTGCTTTAGATGAATACCAATAGACGTCCTAGTTGCTTCCAAGCCGAGAAAGTACTTGAGTGAGCCAAGGGTCTTTAAGGCAAAGTCATTATTAAGATATTTCATCAACTGAGTGATAAATGTTGCATCTGAACCAGTGATTAGTATGTCATCAACATGCACAAGAACATAAGTACAACCTGAAGCTTGTTGAAGAGTGAAGAGGCTTGAGTCTGAGACAGAGTTTCGGAACCCTTTTTGCTAAAGAGCAGTTTTCAATTTTTCAAACCATGCTCTGGGAGCCTGCTTAAGACCATATAATGCCTTGTTTAACTTGCAAACAACCTTTGGAAAGGATTGATATTCAAAGCCTAATGGTTGCTGCATAAAGACATTTTCTGTGAGTACTCCATTTAGAAATGCATTATTAATGTCAATCTATTGAATATCCTAGCCATTTGTAACTGCAATGGTTAGGATAATTCGTATAGTTGATGGTTTGATCACTGGACTAAAAGTCTCAAAGTAATCAAGGCCAAGGGTTTGTTGAAAACCCTTGACAACCAATCTAGCTTTGTACTTCTAAAGAGAACCATCAGCATTGAATTCAGTTTGAAATACCCACTTATTTCCAACAACATTCATATTTGGAGAAGAGGGTACAAGAGTCCAGGTATTGTTATGAATAAAAGCACCAAACTCACTTTGCACACTAGCCTTCCAATTGCTACTGCTAAGTGCGTCAGAGACTGAATTTGGTTCTGGTTCAAGAGCTTCAGACCCATCAACTAAGCAAGCTAGATGTGCACCATCTTGATTATGAGTTGCAAACTATAACTGAGCACCTGATTTAGCTCTCGTAACCATGGGATGTATGTTTTAGGTGCTGGAGTAGCGTGAGAAGTAGTAGAAGGTTCATATGATCTGTCCAGAGTTGAATTATCCCAATGGGCACTTGTACTGACTAGGAACTGAGCATGTGAATTGTTGTGATTCAAAACACCTGCTGTATCAGGGAACTGAGAAGCAGTAAGATCAACAACAAGCTGACAAGGTGACAAAGATAAGGCTTCAGTGTTTATTGGTGTAGTGGGACACAGTAAAATGGATGAGTGGTTAGGTGAAAGAGATGTGTGTTTAGTGTTTGCACTAGTGGTAGGACAAGGTGAAAGAAATGAGTATTCAGTGTCAGTATTTGTAGTGGTAATGGGAGAAAAGATATTGGTTTGATCATCTAAAGGTTGAATATGGGATTTGTTATAAGGAGAAGTAGTTGTTGTGTTAGGAAATTGGGAAGATGTGAGATCTACTATAAGTTGGTAGGGTTGAAAAGGTGAAGTTGTATTGTTTGTATTAGGTAGAGTTGTATTGTTTGTATTAGAGGTATGAGAAGATATTTGTTGAAGGGTATCAACGGATAACATATTGTCAAGAGAAGAATTCTTACCATTTGTTTATGATTTGAGCAGGACTTGTCCATGGAGCAAGGTACCATAGATGAATTTGTGCCAACTGATGGTTGAGGAGAATTGGTATTGACCATAGGAGGAAAGAATAAAAATTGATGTGGTGGTGTGAGTGTCTAGAGTTGAGAACTAAGTTTGAGACGAAGAGCTTGGAGTGTTAATGGCAAAGGGAAACTCATACTCAATAAATTGAACATTAGGAGTAATTACAAGCTGTCCATCAGGTTTTAAACACTTGTCTCCTTTGTGGATTAGATTGTAGCCTAAAAAGTACACTTTACTGTATGGAAATCAAACTTGTGCTTGTTAAAACTCCTAAGGTAAGGAAAACAAGAGCAACAAAAAACTCTTAAGCTATCATAACCAGGAACTTGATGAGATAATGCTTGATAGGGTGAAATATTGTGAAGTGTGTCAGTAGGCCTTCTGTTTATGAGGTAAATGGTTGTCTCAAAGGCAAGCCACCAATATGACAAGAGCATAGATGCATGAGCAAGGAGTGTAAGACCTAACTTAACAATATGTCTATGCTTTCTTTCACTTGTACCATTTTGTTGATGAACATATGCACATGAGTATCTAACTTGAATACCTTGTTCAGTCAAATATGGAAGAAGAGTCTTATATTCACCTCCTTGGTTAGATTGTAAGCTCTTAATTTTACAATCAAATTATCTTTTAGCAAGATGATGAAATTTGATAAAAATTGACCTTACTTCAGCTTTGGTTTTGAGAGGGAATAGCCATGTAAATCTACTGTAGTCATCTAGGAATTGAATATAGTATCTAAAACCTTCAACTGAAGTGCAAGGGGTTGGACCCCAAACATCACTATGTATTAATTCTAAAAGGGCAGTAGCATGAGATTGTGAAATGGGAAAATTGTTTTGGTGTAATTTGCCTAATTGGCAAGCATCACAAAAGGTAAGATTAGAGCTAAATGAGGTGTTTAATTTGGAGGGAAATTTGATATGTAGGTATGATAAAATTTGCTATTGTGTTTTGGAGTTTGGATGTCCTAATCGTTTGTGCCACAGCACATAATCAAGGTGATGAGTGTTAGCAATTAAACAAGACATGTCATTTGTATGTGAATGATTAGATGTAGAGGATGCATCCTTGTTCTTAGAAGCATCGAAACTTAAACATGATGAAGTAGCACTATCAAAGGTATGTGAGTAATCAGATGTAAAAGATGTAGTGGTATTATCAAAAATAGTAAAATTGTCATCCTTAGTTTTATTATCAAGTAAGGGATATATTGTGAACTACTGATGACACATGACTCACTCGGGACAGTCTTACAACAGCTTTCATTATTCAACACAGCAGATGTAATATCAGATAGACCCTTAAGGCAATTATTTGATTCTAAAGAACTAATTGTCTTATTACAAAGCATGGACTTATTTTGAGGATTAGAGCAAACTGGTTTGATGTCGTTAATAGAGTTAACACAGGCTAGTTGAGAAGAAATTTGATTATTGGTCACAAATGGATTGGAGGAGGTCTGAATGGAGAAGGGATTCAATTGATACAAGCCACCTTTAAGGTCCCCTTGCAACAACATTGCTCCTGTGGACTTGTCCTTTACAATACAACAATTAGCATCATTCTAGTATCACATTGTTATCTTTGGTAAACTTAAAAATGCTTAACAAGTTCTTTGTGATTTTAAGAACACAAAGAATGTTTTTGAGATGCAAACATTTAGAATGTAGGTTACTAGGGATAAAGGTATGACCTATATGGGAAATGTTGAGATACGTATCACTCCTAACTTGAAGTTGATCACCTCCATTGTAGTTCTTACTGATATGCAGGTGATTCAAATTTGCAATGACATGATCAGTGGCCCTAGAGTCCATATACCACATTGGATCAATTGGGGTCAGTGATGGTGCCAAGGTGAACTAATGATTCTGTTGTGTGGGAAGTGTTGTTGTTGTATTGTTCTGATGTATGAATAGTACACCAACAAGATGTGAGCAAGTCGTAGATCCAATAGAAGCAAAATGAGCTTGACTTGAACCAGCAGGGTGCTAGTTAGGAACTCCAAATACAACAGTGTTAACAGCACCAAGAGAGAGATTTACACCATTGAAGTGAGCACCAGTAGTGAGATTTCCAGTTTGAGCCCAATATTGTGTATTGTGTTTTTGCTGAGAACCAGTTGGTTGATTGTAAACACCAGCACCATTGAAATAAGCAGGACCATTTCCATTAAAAGATGCGGAACCATTATAGGACATTTGAAATCCACCAGCACCATTGAAGCGAGCAGGACCAGTATAAGAAAATTGAGCTCCCCCATTACCATTGAAAGGAGCAGAACCATTGTAGGAATGCCCATTTGGGAAATGAGAAGATGGGTCTTCATAGTAAGATGACACATTACCAAAGGAAGGTTGTATTGCTCCAATATAAGCAGAATTATACATGTAATAACACTGTCCTATCGAGTGTCCTCCTTTATTGCATAGTTGGCAGATCAACTTTCCTCTTCTAGTGTTCCTACCTCTTCTTCGACCATAGGGCATTCCAAACACATGAGATCTATTGTGATGGACAGGTTGGCTATATGTTTGAGGAGAAAGTATGATAGGGAGGTGAGGATAATGAGGGTTGCCTAAGGATACCGGGGAGGGTACAATATTGTAAAAAGAACCAGAGGTTTTGTCAGATTGCTATTGACTCACTGACTCAACTTTGAGAGGCACATTTGAGTTGTTATTTGAGTTACCAGTAGAAGCTATATTGGCAGAACAATTATAGAGATC